ACACGCAGAAATTTCGCTAATAAATTCAGTATTTCACATTTTTTATTTTGGAATAAATTGTTTTGCAGAAAAAATATGAGATTGTAGATATATATGAATTGTCATCAAATATTTCATAGAATATCATAAATTTGATTCATAGAATACAGAAGTATCGAATGGCAGAGCAGTTTAACAGAAAGAAAATCTTTTTATTTGTTATTTGCAGCATCATAATTTATTTATAATATAAGAGTTGAAAATATATGAATGGTTTATTAGAAACCAATATTAATTCTTAAATCATCATGAGTTGTATTCATAGAGTACTGAAATATTAAAAGGAATAATCAGCAACAAAAATACATCATCATATATATTATTATAAATGCATTATCATATTATCAAAAATACATTAAAGCAAAAAACCATGTTTACATCACGTATACATTATCTACATTCACGGATACGTTATCTGCATCTTGGATGCATTATCGTTATTAATTTTGAAAGGTTCTGGAATTAATTTGAATTATCGCAAAAATATTAAGATTTTTTGAGAAATTATTTCATTACGCGATAAATTTGAAACCGTGGGTTAAATGCTCACATGTTGTTGAGGCTTGAAAGTTTGGAGAGATTCCATGTCATCTGTAAACCGTTAAAATATACGTAGTAAATCACCAAGAACCCTCGTTTCTCTTTATAGCATCGCGCTAATATAAAGAACTGAATCCATCTTGGAAGTTATTTTAATTTTGTACTATTTTCATAAAAGAATACAAGTTAAACAAGCCCTCTTCCGATAAATAAGCAGCCAAATTCTGCGAAGAACTCCTTCTTTTCAGTCTTCTCAAGGAAAGTCCTCTTTCGATTCCTACTATTAGTTCACCCTCTTCCTATATCTTGTTCAAATTTTGCAATCGATTTTTAACTAACTTCCCGATGAGCTGGAGACTTGAAACTTTAAACATAGCTCACAACTAGATGACGATGCAATATTAATTCGCTTTCTTGTCTGTCTGTCATTTCAGATTTTGCATGACGCATGCGCAGTACGTTTTTCATTATATCTCGAAAACTATTAACATTACAGACTTGGTTCTTGGATATATGGATGGCCCATGGGATCATGGAAGCACACTCATGTTTTAGCCATATCTTTGCGCATGCACAGTACATTTTTAATTATATCTCGAATCACCTAAGTAGGAATTGACTTAAAATTTTTTTATATATATGACTTGTTCAGCGTAAAATTACTGTAAGTAGAATTAAAGAAGCAGTGAATTTAAAATATCATAGGAAATAAATTAAAAAAAGTTAAATTATAAAATAGTTGATTCCTAAGTAATTTTTGTATAATGCATAGGAAATAGGTAGTTTCGAAAGAATAAAAAAAGGGTAAAATTAACTTTTTTGCGCATTTATCAAAATATTTACGAAGAAAAAGTATTGCGAAGTGCACAAATTCTGTTTCTACTGAGAAATATCAATGTAAAAATGAGAATTAGGTTTGCGAGCAATACAAAAAGTTTTGAATTTCGAAAGAGTGTATCATTTCTGCACAGTAAATAACTAATCTCGCTTCCTTTTAAGAGAATAGAGTTAGTGCTTTTTATACTGTGAAAGTTCTATCTCTAATCTATATATTTAAAATAAATTTGGTAAAAACCTTCAGACAATTCCTTAGCCCCAACCATTAGACCGATTTCAACAATTTTTATTTCATATGGAAGCTTATGACATCTAGATATGTCATATATAGCCGTTTGCCCCTCTAGAATCCTCCATTTTTGAGAAATATTGCAAAATAAACGGAATATATTAACTGAAATAACACAGAGATATTGGAAAATAATGCAGAGTTCCTGAGCCTCAAAAACTGGACTGATTTCTCCAAATTATTACGTCACTTCCTTAAAATAATTATCCAATCAGAAAGCTTTATTTTCGTAACCTTAAAATTGTATTTTTCATTTGTATGCAGTTTCGTAGCATCTCCATATTATAAACAATAATCGCATTATATCTTTTTAAATTAAATTAAATTTAGTTTTAGTAGCAGAGGATTTTGTTAAGAGGTCTCTATAAATATTATCATCTTTGTTTCAGTTAAAATTTAATTTATCATTAATAGTAAACGATTTTGTTTCTTTTCTAAATTTATTCTTATTAGATCAGCAACAAGAAAATTAGTTTTTGTTAAAAAAACTTTTATGGAATGCAGCGTTGTAAATGAGAGCATTAAATTGTTTCTGGAATAAACATTTTATTTTTGAGAAGACTTTTTGTTTCCATCACTAATCCTTACATTTCCATCAAAATGGCGTACCAAAAATATTATAAAATATTTATCATTTCCTATTTATTGATCTGAAGACTTTCAAGCAGAAATTGGTGAGAAAGTTGTACAAAATATTACAATTCGGTGGGGTTTATTCAAAGACTTTATAATTTTAAAGGATATGTAAGGTTTGGTTAGGTTAGCGTCCCGTTTTGAAGCAACACGAGAGCTATTTAGGGACGGACCTCGTAATTTTGAACCGCGGTCAGATGACGAGGACTCCCCACGCTTCCGCGCCACACTAACGGGAGGGCATTTGGCCACTACATGTCTCATACATGCCCCATACACGGTGGATCTTCGGTGGAATTGGGCTTCGAGCCTGCGACCCTCCGGTCCTGAGGTGGAGACATTGCCACTAGGCCGCCGTGGCCTCATAATTTTAAAGGAAGCTGTTGTCTACAAAGAATATGAAATCTGCTATGGCTTAATAGTCTGTTCCACTGATTTTCATGCAGTATTTAAAACTTAAAAGAGTAGTAGCTGAGAGCCGCGAAGCCGTGAGGGGAAGAGGCAGTGCTGAGCAGTGCCTCTTCCCCTCACGGAAGAGGAAGTGCGTGCTGGCCGAAACCAGCCAGGGGGCGGCGAGAGCGTCTAGTAGTAATAAAAACGAATGCTTGTCCTTCTGTCTGTTGGCAGTTTACAGGGCAAACCGTTGGACCTAGAGCTATCAAATTTGGAAGGGACGTACTTTGGAGGGTGGGAATGTGCACTTCGGAGCCATTTTTTTGAATTTTAATTCCCTTTACAAAACACTTACACTTTAAGTGAATTTCATTCACTTTAATTAACTTTCATCATTTAAAAATTGAGTGAAAAATTGGCATTTTCCCGTTATATTTTCCGAAAATATTATGATACAGAATAATTATTACGTCATTTTAAAATACAAATAGATAAATAAATAATTAAAATAATATCTTTTCAATGATACCAATTTAGTTGTGCAATTTTTTCTCTGATTTTATTATTTTTTGAAAGCACTTTTTAATCTATTCATTGTTGTAATGCGAGATGCATTGCTAAACTAGTCATTTCTGTATGGAAATCGTTCAATCACATTATTTCTTCCATTGTTTTAGCTATGGTTAATAAAGTTTGCCTTTTTTAATACATTAATTACTTAACTCCAAAGTATATTTTGATTTTTCTACATTTGGATGTTATGCACAATTTGAAAATCTGTTTTTGAGTTCAAACTCATTGCATATAGAGTTTTTTTCAACTAATAAGTTTTGTTTAATGAAATATTCTTTTCTCACCCGCTTCAAATGGATACTTTTTATGATCTGATTGCGGAACAGCTGCCTTTTGTCTTTTTTTTCTAAATACACATTTTTTTGTTTTATCTTCATTTCGCGCTTATTATTTTTTTTTCTTTTAGAAATCTCATAAAAATTTTGTTTTATTTTCAGTTATTTCTTTTTGTTTTTCAAGTCATCATATAATAGTTTTGTGCATTACATATGATGACTTAGATATTTTACTACATTTATAAACCGTTGATTTTCGGCTGCTAAACAATTCTGTCAACCATTTTAAAAATAAATATTAAATTTTTTTATTCAGAAAGCAAGTTTAGAAATAGCTAAATCATTTTCTCATTAATTCCAATTTTCATTAAATAGATACTTTTGAATATTGTCAAGTAATAAAATCTTAAACAATTATGTGTCCCATATTAATAGTTAAACAGACAGGAAAGACAATATCCCAGAAAAACAAGCTGATCGCCAAAGGCTAGTATTAAATAGAGAGAACTAGAAATAGAAATGGCAAAAAAGATTTCAAAATATTGCATATGTTCTTCCATCGGTATTCTCGCGTACTTCTACATAATGATTTTGTTCATAATGTACGGTAAAGAATTATTGTGGTGTGGTGTTATGCATTTAAACATTCTCCTTTGGTATTCATAAAAGCCTTAAGCTTGGCATCACGAGAAGGCTGGCTTTGCCATTTCTCCAAAGACAGGGTTTTTTTTCTTACTCACTTTAGTCGAAAAATCAGGCAAAGCATTCACGGATGTTCCAAAGTTTGTTTTGAGACAAAGTTCAAAGTCGCAGAATTCCTCTCCCCCCACGCGAGAGATTTCGAGTTTCATTTCTAGCCTCGATGCTAGGTGTCAATGTGGGCAGATCCTTTGTTTTGCCGCTACCCTCGCATCGAGGTCTCAAGTTGGAATCGGCGGATTGAGCTTTGGATTTTAAGTTCTTTTGAGTTCCACCATTTCGAATCATTTGCTCCAAATTTGACAGGTTTTCGACCTTGACGATAGGTTCCAAAAATTCTATTTTGGAAGAGCGGTGAATGGCCTACTTTATAAGTATAAAAGCTTACCTTCCGACTAATATTTGTACTGTATTTTTAACACTCACCACAATACATTAAAACGTCGCGTATTGAAGTGGCACATTACGTAAACCAATCACGGATTACCTGTGCCTGGTAATTTGTCTGGCATCGAACACACGATCCTTTGATCGCCAAGTCCACTTTAGTGTAGTTATATTAACGTCCGGTCTGGAAACAACACGCGAGCTATTCTGGGATGGACATCGTCATTTTGAACCGCTGTCAAAAGGCGAGGACGACACCCGAGCTGGCACCTCTTCTCGAAATTTCCGCACCACACCAACGTGAGGACGTTTGAGCCCCTACGTATTATGTAACGTGCAACAGGTTTCGAACATGAAACCCTTCAGTTCCCAAGACGAGACCATACCACTAGGCTACCGCTGCTTCATTCTAATATTTTTCTAAAAAAATTGTTGTGGCAACAATAGGAGAGCAACA